GCGTCAAGACCAGAATCACTCATAGGNGAATCGATCTGATCAGCCAGCGATTCCGCTCTAAGCTCGAACGTGATGGAGCGACGAGAGACGCGACGCTTCCGCTCCGCAACCATATCTCCTGAGGATGCGGATTTCAATTTCGAAACCATTGGGGTCCTCCTTTCAACACGAGTTCCCAAGGAATCGTCGTAGTCTCAAATGAACGCCTGGTGTTTCTCAGGGGCTTTCCGCAAGTAGCCAGTTCAATGAAGACCGGCGCCTCACCACGACCTACCATAGGGTCGGATCGCTCGCGGACACTCCCGGCGAATCGATGGAGCGACTTCCGAACTTCGGCCCACTGCTAGGGGGAACATAATGATGGGAGAGAGGATCCGCACAGACTTCAATTTTTTATTGCTCGGGGAAAATCGTCTAAGATCGATCCCGGCTCGGGAGAATCGGCGAAAATCGTCGGAGACCGTGGGAACTCTCTCCAACTCCGGAGGTCTATCAGGGGCTATCAACATAATGAAGAGGTCAACGGGAGATCGGGTTGTTGCCACTTCGGTGCTGCTGAATTTTTTGCGATGACCAACGAGTCTAACACGGATCCCTAAAAGAGACAAGAGAGCTCAGGAATCGATCACCTCGAGGAATTGATTCCGCCCTGCGCATGGGTTTTGGCCCGCAGGGAGTAGTCACTCATCGAGTTCAAGCAGAGCTAACCTCAGGCACGGAAATCTGTTCCATGAGTATGTGGGTTTTGTTGAGGAGCTGCAGCCTTGTGTACGAGTAGTAGTCGGCGGTCCGATAGGCGCTGATATTGCGGAAATCTTCACCGAAGGGACTCAGTTCCTCACGGTTACCCTGCAACCAGATGATGACCAGTTCGAGTGACCAACCCCTCACGAACATGGTAGAAATTCAGACCGGTAATCTTGGGTCTACCGTCTTCTCACTGGGGTGCTCCTAGCGGATATCGCTGTTTTGCAAGCGAGATTCCTAACTTACCGGTGCTCCCGTGACAATGTGAACCGGGCTCGACGGATTGATGTACGCAGCGCTTGTTCGATCGGACACCTCCCACTTGTATAGCGGCCAGAGCCGCTCGTATGAGTGCTGGTCGTCCCGCCAGTAGATGTCGACTCCATATTTCTTCAGAAGATCCTGACCGAGAAGTCCTGAGTGAAGGGCATCCCTGAGCGCAGGATGCTGTACGGAGCCGAGCAATCGCGGAACTCTGGCAAGGTTCAATGAACGATGTCAACGCGATCGATTATAGTCAGATCGCTCTCGCGATCTCCTTTTCCTCCCTTCGATTTTTCCAGACTGTCCTCCTCGATGATGCAAGCCTACCCTGGTTTGTACAGTACATAGGACGGTGACCTATCAAGAATATCCAAGGTCTCTTCTGCCGGTTTTCAGGTAGATTCGCCTCCTCCAAATCCTGAATGAGCCAATTGTATTGGCTCTGGATCTGCTCGTAGCCGAATCGAAGGTAAAAGTAGAACTCAGTAGTGAAGAGAACCATGTGGACTGGTCCAACGTTGAACGAATGGAAGAAGTTGTTTCGCTGGTTTTGCTGTCGATTCCACATCGAGAAGCGAGCCTCGTAGTTGGAGAAATTGCTGGAGTTCAAAGTTTCGAGGAACCAAAATCAATTCAATTCTTTCGTTCTGGGACTCAAACGAAGTCTTTTCCCATGGAGCCCTCAGAAACGACAATTCCTATGAATTGAACTCACTAGTGATACTCATGGTTGCCGGGGCAGACCTGGTATGGGACATAAGCTGCTATAGGTTCGATTTGCCGCATGAACTCATCGGCACGCCGCGCATTGTCCTAGAGCGCGAATAATCCGAAGTCAATCGGTAACCTGGGCCTGCGTGTCCATCGGACTCATAATCTTATAGGTCAGGAGCAATGAATTGTCGGCAATGAAATCCGCTCCACTCACGTCTGCCATATCGTAGGCGAAATCGCCCAAGTGGACCACGGTGTCTATCTGAGAATTCAGAACCTCTTCTTCGATAGCTGTCAAGGCCTGATCGTTGCTGTTCCCTAAGTCGCCGTAAATAAGGAACTTCGGGTTGAAAGCGTCATCTATCAGGAGGCTCCTGAACGTGAAAACGTCGCTCCACCCCACGACTGGGTCTCCGCAATGGTAACCTGGACGGGAGATCAAGTCCGGTGAGCCATAAAGTCCAAGAGCTACGCCAAAATAACCGTTATCCAATTATCCGCACTCTGATTTTCGACAGATTTCGGGCGCTCACGGTAATAGGTCCCAGGTGTGAGTACAGTGAGCACGACTCGATGATTGTAGATCTTGCGTCGCTCATCCCCAAAGTCCTCGTAAAGCTCCATGGTGCCGTGCCGTTTCTCGGTCAATGTATGGCTTGATGTCGAATCCAAGCCGTATTCTACCACCGAAGAGTTTGTCGGGGACAGCGTCACCCAAGTGACTATCATTTCGGTCTCATCAGCTGCATGAAGATATATTCGTACTTGATGAAAAGTCTCGAGCGATTTTCCCGACTAGAGCTTTCTTTTTCGAAGCGGGCGGAGGAGGGGGGGGGTGGTGGGGGGCTTTGGAACTCACCGCCTAGGCTGAGGTGGACCTGTTCGGGCTGGAGATAGAGGACGGGAGAGCCATCAAAGAGGGCACGCGATGGTGGGGTCGCTAGAACCAGCAGAATCCACCAAAAATTTCGCAGCTCTTTCATGGCTCACCGCGGACCAGAACTTGGCTCCTCTCAGCTGGAAGTGAGCTCCGGATGTGGATGAAAATGCGGTGTCCTGTCGGAAATTTATATCGATTGCTCTCGCATCAACGCTAAGCGACCATGGAGCGCGGTCATTACCGAATCCGGAGACCTCAGCTCGTTAATCCGCGTGTTCTCCGGGTCCTCATTCTCCGCGCTTGACGCGCAGCAGTGCGATAAGAGCGCTTAGCCGATCCCGCTACGATGGAGATCGTTGTATAGAGCCCATACCGGGCTACTCATTCCCGCGACTTAAAATTATCGTCACGTAGATGATAAGGCTGTTACCAATCGACCTGTGTCGAGAATTTATAGCCTGCGATTATTTCCGGTCGCGAGTCGCGGGATTTTCCCTCCTATAAACTATGTTTGCGGAAGCCTCCTCGTGCTGGGAGGATTGGGGTTTCCGGATTATTCGGATTAATCAGAGCGCAGAAAGCCGATCGCGAGTCGCGGAATTTCTTCTCCCATACAGCATGCCCCCTGAAGCCTCCTCTGAGCTCGAGCGATTCGGGTACTCGGAGTACTCGTGCAAAAAAACGTCACTACGTTTGACGTACGTCCTTGAAGTGTCCGCGGCGTGGCACTGCGTGCCTTAGTGTGATACTCACTCGTCGAGAGTGGAGTTCTTCGATATAATTTTCACATTGATTCTGCCACAGAAGACGACACGAACTATACGGCAGGTTTCATAGTCCGCGACCTTGTGCTCCGTCGGAAATACCTCACGTTCCAGGGCGCTCAAATAGTTTCAATGTCGACATAAAGCTAAAGTTAACGGAGCCGGTCGGCACTCCCTCGTAGGTATTCCGGCAGAATCTCCGATGCGATCTATTGCTTGAATTTCCCGGAGACGTCTCGCATCGGGACGATCTTTTCCCCATCTTCTCCCGGGGGCTGAAAGCAGAATCTCGATTTCTAGTCACGCTGACAAATCTTTCCGTCTCGCATGTCAAGTTCGAGGACGATAATTCCACAGGTAGGTCGCTACTGTTCCCATCAATCGGATCAATACCCTTGTAGCTCCAATCCAGAGCTCCGCATCAGGACCATCGTGTCAGGGTGACCAGAAAACTGTTAAATTTCGCACCTCCCGGGAGGCTGTTGTTGCGAACTATAAAAGACTGCCGACCGATTTCAGAATGTATCAGCAACATGAAGCTCTCGGCGGTCCTGACAGTGACGGTTCTATTTGGAGGTGCCGCAGCTCTGCCTAGTGAGTATGTTTCGGAGTTTCCCTGTCGCATCGTTTTCCATTGGGTCCGGAACAAGAACCTTTGAAATCTAAGTTTTATACGTGCCAATTCCAGCATTGTTCCCGCGACTCTATATGGAGCCTTGCGGTGATGGAGCTGGAGTCTGCATGACAGGAATCGAATGTGGTTTTCAGAGAGGTCGGTCCCTGGGGAGTTGCGTTCTTGGGACCTGTTGTCGCCGTGAGTGATTCTGAGACTCCGTAAATTCTGGACGATTCTTCCGTATTAGGAAACCTGAACGGAACCAAAACTCTTAGAGAAACCCATACTTTACAGTGGAGAAAACTTGTGGAGGGAGAATCGTGGCGAACAATACGTACTTCGTGAGTCCGTATGAGTCCGTACGCGGTGGATCCTCATGCAGCGTCGAAGTTCAGAAGAAATGGCACATCTCTGGGATTTGTCAAATGAGATTAGATTTCATCGAATTCGACACCGTTGGACCTAACTTTGCCACGGGTGCTTGCATCCATGATTCGTTCAGCGTGTCTGGAGCCGATCGATCGGTGCCAACCATATGTGGCCGCAACAACAAACAGCACAGTAAGGCCCTCGTCCTCAAGAAACTTTCGAAATGGAAATTATCGATGAGTCCTGCTCGCCTAGCCACCCACACTTATTATGGAGAGAGGACGGTTTGTTTTTTCCGAATTCGCTCGGAGATACCCCTTACCTCCGTGACCCCTCTATCATTGATTTCAGTGTACATCGATGTCAGGAATGCGCGCAGCATCCGTCTGAATGTTAACCTCGGTCAAAACTCCACGAGCAGACAGTGGAAAATTCGCGTCAGCCAGATTCCCTGTTATTCCGAGCGGCTTGCGCCGCCAAATTGCTTGCAATATTTCGAAGAAGACTCCGGGATAATATCCAGCTTCAACTACGGGAGCCTCTTCAACGATTCTTCTTATCCCTTGGATTTGAGGTAAGGTAGAGGGTTCTACTTCAATTATGAGAGATCGCCTCGATATTTTCCTTTGATGTCGGTCCGCAGCAAGCAGCGGCAAACTCGAATGCCATGCGATTGGATGCCTACAGGTTACGTTGATTCTCCCCGTGTTCGTCACGTGGAATATTGCAGATATCGGATGTGCTTCCGGGACGCTTGCATCGTGCAATTGACCCAAGTCGGAGCATTTGGTCTCGGAGAGAAACCCGAGGCATCGGGCCGGCTCGCCGATAATCTTGGGGAATTGTCTGACAGAATCTGCGACGACTTGACAAGTTACGACGAGAACAGGAAACGGAAAGCGTATCTCACCATCGACGGAATCAAGTTCTGCGGGAACAAATTCCTACGTAGTTTCCGAACAAGTGAGTTCCGCTACGTCCTTGTCCTCGTCATTTCTCTGTCAGATAGATCGATTGATTGGCCGAGCCTTGATTCCCCTCTTTAAACAAGGTATATGATATTCGTGAATATATACGGGAAAAACCCGTAAACGGGCACATACAGTCTCTCTCCGGCATGCCCCCGTCCCTCTTCGAGGATCAATGGATCAGAGATCCTCTCAAGTCCACGTCTTCATTCTGTAAAGGGGGAGCGAAGCCAGAGTTCTTGACCGGAGCGCTTCACTTTCTATTCCTCTACGGAGAGATCTATTCCAGGGAATGCGATATCATCCATCGGATTCAATTCACCAGAGAGAGAAGAAGGACGCGACGACTACGGTAGGGCACCTTATCCTGGCTTCCAGCTCCAATACAAGAGCAATTGCGGGAGGCAATGAAGATCGCGGATTCGTTGCTACAACCCCGCCGACTCGCGTCCCGGGTGGGTCCACCTATGTAGTTCGGGTCCTGATGCGAGTTAAGCCCCACACTCAATAAAAGTTTGCTTCTAAAGTTCCGAGAATTCTTTCAAGCATTATTTTCTCCGCCCCGATCAACATTGAATCTGAAGCCGAAGGGCTACTCTTTGAGCTTACTTGATCGGTGAACTCTGTAGTGCAAGCCCCGGGGATTGATTATTGTTGTCTGCGGAATCGGAGCTCGATCGAGATTATCTTCGTCGTTCATGAAGATGTCAGAGATCAGCCGTAGTAGAATCGCATCGCTGCCTCGATGATCTCTTCCAGTTAGCGTTGTGTTCAAGCCACTGGCCGGCCTTTCCTTGTGGAGATCGAAGGCGATATGCACGATTAGCATCAAATTTGAGCTGGTGCCGCAGTAGAGCTCTCGGGCGTGCTTATCTACGCATCATCTAGGTACGAAGGTGAATATTCAGCGAATTTCGTTTCGGAATCCAGCTGAGGAGAGGGTTCAATCCGTGTCTCGATCTGAGATCTTCCAGTCTGCACTCATACCCCGATACGATCACTTTCTCTGTGAAACTCGACGGACAGAGACCATGCGACGACAACCATCGCGATCGTTCCCCAGTTCCGTCGGGGCCTCGTTCCTCCGTCCGATCTGATCTATCGCAAGTCAGAAGTAGACTTTGCAAGGCAAGCTCCGTCGGGGTACCTCGTCTGGGTGGACCTGGATGGAACGACCGCTCACTCCCGCATAAAAGACCGTTTGCCAGGTTTTGACCGAGCCTTTGGAATCTCTCATTTCGATGGGATCTGCCATAGCAGACCCGATGATGGACTTTCCGATATAACATGCCTCGATCTTATCTCCTTCCATGCCACCCAAGTTGGTTATACTATCTGAGTACTATTACCGCGTGTTGGATAGTCGGAAGCGACAGCCGACTGATACATTCGGAAGATTCCTCGCACTTTTACGCGTTTTGACAAGGGCTCCAGCGATACCTATATCCCCCAATACTCGCACTCCATTCCGTCGCAGAGCCCAGCTCCAGATACGAAGGGCCTCGAATAGAAGAGACAGTTTCGGTCGGTCCCTTGAAGTCCGTCATGATGACATTACACTGTAATATTCATGCATATTCGTGGATATATAGCCCGTCGTGAAAAAGTTGAGCTCAGAGCTTCAATCGCTGGAGCGTTCCAACGGCCCGACTGTAAAAGTCTCCACGAGCTCGAGACGCGCGCGAACGGATCTTCCGACAAGGACATGAGACTTCATTGTCAGCTGAAATTCTTTCAGCTAATAACCCCCGACCCCGGTATCGGGAGCCCCGAGGGTCGGTGGATATAACTTACCGTCAATCTCTTATCTGTCGAGGAGATGGAATATAGATGGAGGAGGCGGCGACGTCGACGCCTTTCTTCGGCCCGGAACAGGTTTTCCTCTGGGGTGAAAAGCTCGGTGAGCTCACGTGGAGCACGCGAAGAGGAGATCCCACATCCAGGGCGAGACACAGAAATCTCCCCGGTGATGCATATGGAAAAGCCCTTTTGTCGATAGGTCACTGAGAGGTTCTGGCGGTCTCATAGCTTTCACCCTTTTCAGTCCACCCCTTGAGCCCTCTCCAGGGACCCTCTCCCTTTGCCACGTGCTCGAGGCTCTGGGATCACGATGTTCGCCCGCACTCTAGTCTTGAGCCTGCCGGCATACTACGAAGCGCGTTCTCGATGTGGAAAAGTGGACGAGTGGAATTGTGAATTTTGTCTCAGGTGATAATGTGTACAGGGAGCCTATTGATTACTGTCCAGTGCCCAGACAAATCCCTTCGTCAATGACTCTATCCTATACAATAAATTTCTCCGGATCATCACTGCCACTAGCCAAAGGTTAGAGTGCTTGTTGATGGTGGATTTTCGACAGCTCCGGCAGAATGAGATCAGCTCGAATGCTCGATCTCCGGCGACTCCGGGGTTTTCCCTCGACTGTGTTTCGTCTTCGACAAGCGCGGTTCGGAAAATTCGCTGCTCTTCAAGCTTGTGGGTGACTACCTCTTCCGAGGAGCGCTCCCACAGAGTGTCAGCTCTGCTCTCGTTCGGTTCGAAGATGGATTCCTCCGAAAAAGTGCCGGGGAGAATGGCACGGGCGTTTCGACCAATCATATCGCGCGTTTGCCTTCCGAATCACTTCTATCCGGATCCCTTGAGCCTTCCGGAGGTTTTGCTCCGGACCCTAGCTCGGGCGGCCCGTTCTTATCAGTCGCGCCTGACCCGTCTGCGTGGACCGAATGCATATCTGGTGACATATTGTTTGCCCGCAGCAGCCTCAATACCGCTCCATTGTTACAAAACTGAGCGTAGAGATCGACTCGGTCCCTTCCGAAAACATCTTTCCCGACATCCCGCGAATATGTTGGCGATTCGAGCGATTCACGCGACTTTGACCGCGATCGTCCGCGATTGAAGTCGTTTTTCCGCGGAAAATTTCATTTCTGGGAGCGACTTTTTGACTTAGGACTCGAGAGACGAGTTGACCGCGACTATTCGTTCGTTCGGAATTCTTACGTCCGCCGCTCTTGTCAAGAACGCTCAGAGACTCGAAGGCGTCGGAAACATCGATGACTGTTCCCTTCAATCTTCACAAAGTCTGGGCTGACAACAAATAGCGGGAAAAGGTCGTGTTCTCCGCAACTGGAGATCTATCCATTGATTACTATTCATCATTAATTATCGGCGGCGCCGCACTCCTGTTGCGAGGAAGCAAACGAGCAACGAAGAGCAGAGTGTCGATACTCAACCTTCAAGACGTGGCGAGACATCGATTCCACACCACCAAACTCCTTGATGATATAATGATTCAGACGGGAATTCTGTACTGTGATGGTCATAATCCAACGGCATGGACCCGCTTTGCGTCTTGTCCTGGAATCTGATCGCGGCGTATAAAGGCGCTGTCTTCACAAGATTTCGGCTGCTTTTACAAGGCTCTGAAATGAGCGTCGATGGTCGGAGATCCTCTTCCCGATCGTCGATAACGAGCCAGCTCGAACAGGGGAGCGCATATTTTCCGAGCTTCGGGATTCGTTCAGCTAGGTCGTGAGCGTCAACGTACCAGCGGGGTTTCCCTAGTCCATGGACACGGGGTGGCGGTCAACCCAACCAGTCGGAGACGTTCGCTCGGTAGGCCACTCAAGGTTCATGTTCGCAGACTACAATCTCTCCTACAGCATCGACGATGAACCACTCGTGTCGGAAGCCTCTCTGTATGTTGAGCCGAGTTCGATCGTCACTAATCCTCTAATGGCGAAGTCTGATCAACTCGTCGGGGGCAGCAGAAGCGAATCCCGAGAGCCCGTGCTGACCCGGGAGATCCTCCGTGCTAGCCTCGGTGTCAACGTTTGCGGCGGCTTTTGGGGTAGCGCTTGCGGCAGCGTTTGCGGTAGCGTTTGCGGTAGCAAATCGTCGTCACGCACATAAGCAGAAAAAAATTCCCGAACACGTGATCTGTCTTCATTTGATCACAACAGGAGCAGCAGCAGCAGCAACAACGGAGCCTACTACAAGTGCTTCTCCCGATGCCAAGTATAAAGTGCATGGGAGGCACGGAGGGAGGAGAGGACGGTAATAAATATCGCGCGCGCGACATTATAATGCAATGCAAGCGAGATGACAAGCCCATATTTCATGGACGGACGAACAAACCAACCAACGGAAGAATCTACCAAGAAGGAAACCCAACGCTCGAGAATCGTCTCGCTCTGCTGTAACATAAAGCTCAGAGCGGGATCAAGGGGTGGCCTGGACTCGCCGGGCCAAAGCTCGCGCTATAGGGAACGAATTATAAGGAGTTCCTTTCTTGAGAGTTTTTTACCCCTGGTCCCCCGCCCTTTTGTCCTGGCTGGCTGGCGGGCGGACGCAAGGCGCGCGAGTCAGCTAGCCAGCCTAGGGCCGAGCGGGTTCGGCTGACTTACATGAATAAATAAGATGAAGTGCTGCCTTTTGAGGATGGTGTTGGCGATGAACGCGGCTACTGGTGCTGTTGGTTCTGGGGTGATGATGATGATGGCGATGGGGGACTCTCGGACGTCATCCAGCCGATCCATCAGACGTAATGATGACACGCCGGAAGTTTTTTCCCGCCTGGGCGCCAAAAGTCACGCCGATCGTAGAATTCTCCACTCCAGATTATCATGGCAGCGTTTTCGTCGGCTACGCTTTCGATCTGAGCGGTCTGCTCATTCAGTTCTTAGAATTACTGTCCTGGAATGCACACATCACTTCCCGCCGCGGAGGTTCCTCAATTTTGAGGAGCTCCGTTTCCAAATTTGAATCCCTGAATCCTCAGATAGTTTGTTGCGACCCACTCCGGGACGAGGTCGCGAGTTTCGTGCCCGGCACTTGAGTGGAGGCGCTTGAAAAGAGTTCATTCCGAGTCCTTGTCTCTGTCCGAGGCGTCTCCGATTCTACGCCTCCTCGAGGAGGGGAGGCATAAAAACGAGAGACTGAGGAGGAATGTGGTCGTCCATTCGGAAAGTCTGCTTGTTGAATTCGTCTCTGCGAGTGTGTGTCACTGCGAGAGAAGAGATATCAATTGCCGAGGCAGATTTCGTCGGTCGGGCGGCGACCGACGTTGGTCTGCTCCGGCTTGTCGGATGGTCGACCGAGCGCTCGACTGGATTGTGGACAAAGGCCTGTGGTTGGCTTGTAATGGAAAACCGCCTCGGTCCGGCGTGACTCGCCGGCGCTGTCTCGGCCGCCTCGTTGCAGAGCGTCCTCCCCCTTTCGATCTTCGGACCTACCGACGGATGACCAAACGACAGCGGGTGAGGTTAATGGTGACGGTCGGTGACGTATCATGATCTTCGCGGGCCGTGGGATCCACAAGGCGAGGAACGTCGTCATCTCTACCTCGCAGAGAGAGGAAAAGTCCAAGAGAGACGGCAGAGGAATGTCCAAATGTATCCGTTGTGACGTCACCGCTTCCTCCCCATCGATAATTTCAT